TTATAACGGGTTTCCCCCGAAAAGAAGAAAAATATATTCTGTAAAAAATCGCACACGGTGAAATGGTTTTGGTAAACGTCACCCCGGGCCCCAACTTTACTTCTAAGGCCTTCACCTAAAAACCCACCTATCCCCCCTCCATTTTGTGTGTGTTTTGTGTGTGGGGTGGGGGGGTGTTTGGGGTTTTGTGTGTTAGAAGGGGAGACTGGCTCGGTGGGTTTAAACCCAAAATTTTTCCCTTTCCGTCGGGAATAAAACATTTTAAAAAACAAACACATACCCCGAGAGATTTTGATTTTCAATAAACAAAACACTTTCCCCAGTTGTAGGATATGGAACCCCATTTTTTCTTGTCCTGTTTTCTACTTTTTAAAAAAGGGAAAACCGTTTTTTTTCAAACTATTCATCTTTTTTTTTTTTTTAACTCACGGGGCTGAAAACTCGGGCGGAAATCCTGGTTGCCCCTTTTTAACTTTGGTTGTGTGCCGGGGCCTGAGTTTTGCGTCCCCAAAACCTTTTTTCATTGTGTTGTGAAAGTTGATCGTTCCTTCCCGGGGGCAATAAACTCCGACTTCAAAGAAAGCTCCCTATCAGCAAACTACTACAAATTTTTCGTGTCGGGGAGGCAGTGGGTCTGTTTTTTCCTCCCCCCCCCCCCTTTTCCCCCCCCCTTCTTTACCCCACCCCCCCCCCCCCCCCCTTTCCCCCCACCCCCACAAGGGGGCTTCGGTATCCACACGGGATTCCAGCGTTCGGGGTGGGGTTTAAAATTTAATTTGGAAATCCATATCTTGTTTGCCGTTAAAGGGCAAAATTTGCTTTTTCTTCAAAAGTGAAAATTAAACAGCACGGTACTTTTATAAAAGTTGAAACCATTAGCTGCGGGAGGGCTCAACTGAGGCATGGGTCTAACCAAAACATGCAATTTTTTGGGAAATGCGAAATTAGGCTTTTTTCCCTAACCCTTTTTTTGGGGCGCACGCACCCTCATTTCACGTGCATGTCTAACCGTGAAATTAAATCAACGACTTCTCTTTGCCTGATGAACCAGGTCTTGATTGCAGACACAGACATGAATTTGCAACAGCATCTCACATACACGAATGAAGAATGTAAATCAAATAATATGAGAATCAACAGAAAAGACAGAGGTAATGTCAGGGAGAAAGAATCAGGATTAGAGCGTGGGTTAAAAGGTTAGTTGCGTATCCTTTACAGTACGTTGCAGAACCAACCCCAGCAGCCCCTGGATGTTGTGTGGTTTCTCTAAGCAAATTTACGTCCAGTAGTTTGCCATTGCTCTTTGAACGGTCAGCCCCCTGATACCACTGTCAAAATCAACGCGAGGCGCATGGCCCGCAGCTGGGATCGAACCCGGCACCCCGGCATTACAAAGCGTTGGCATCGATTTAGCCACATTAAAAAAAAAAAAAAAAAAAAAAAGAGCAAAAGCCCGACCATTAGCGACGTCTGAGTTTAAAATATCTTGGGGAACAACATTCACTGAAGATGTAAAACTGGATGAAGAACTCGGACATCCGATGCAGTAAAAGCTGGCCACGTATTGGGACGGCCTTAGTCCCCCTCTTACAGCATAAGTCAGCCCCAATCAGCACAAAGAGACATCTCATACAAAACATATTCATTTCCATCTTATGCTACCAGTGCCAGACGTGGTCACTAACAACAAAAGATAATACAAAATTATTAACCATGGAAAGGTGTCTGAGAAAGGCTCTAGGAGTGACCAGAAGAGAAAAAATCTTGGATGAGGTCATACGAGATCAAGTCAGCACAGAATCAAGTCTAAATTACATACAAAGACAGCAAATCCAATGGTTTGCCCACTTGTAGAGAATGCCTTCTGATGTTATACCATACAAGGCATATACCAAAGGAGGAGAGAGACTTAGAGCAAGAGGTAGACCAAGAAGAACACGAAAAGATAACATCAAAGAAACTGTACAGCACCACGATGTATCTTTGGTCGAAGCAGCCAGAAGAGTACCAAGGAGGGTCTTATATCCTCCTTGACACCCGAAGCGGTAAAAAAAAAAAAAAGACGTAAAGAAGAAGAAAAAGGATCTAACCGTGCGGAAAATGGCTGACGTATGGCAACCCTAGTGTTAGGCGAGGAGACCAGCCACGGTGAGTGGATTCATTATGGTACTGATGGACATAGTTGTGCGCACATGTACCGAAACAGAGCCATAGTGTACGCTGGAGAGACTGAGGTGTAGCTAGAGTGTTTGTATTGGCATTTCTGATGACTACCTTATGCATTTAATGCGTGTGTAGGCTAATGTTTGTGTCTAGATTGTTTCCTTTGTGTGTGTGTGTGTGTGCAAAGGACAGTAACGTGCATTCTTTGTGGCTTTCGTTGGCATAAATATATACTGGGTGACCTGTTTTCCCTGAAGATAGAACTGAAATTAACTGATAAGTGATTAACTGGTTTCTGATTAACTGACAACTGATTAATTAACTGATAGAGTGTGTT